CAGGTGTTTGTTAGTCCTCAATCACTGAGAAGCCACATTATTCCGAGCCTTAGTGTCCTCAAAATTGGTAGAGAGAGAGAGACAATTAATAGTTACCTAATGTAACTTAAGTTCTACGAATAGGTGCGTAGTCCCTTAGGACTTCGCTAGTGGGATATCACTCATGACCCCCAGGTCACACGCCAGAGAGATCAAAATAATTTGCTCCAATCACCAGCCACCCTCCTCTATAAATGCCCCTGCACAAGGCCGCACCCCCTCTTGAACTCTGCCAAGCCGGGCTGGCCTGATGGGCTCGTAGCTAAGGGACTACGCACCTATTCGTAGAACTTAAGTTACATTAGGTAACTATTAATTCTACGTCATGGTGCTACGTCCCTTAGGACTTCGCTAGTGGGACACAACGCGGAGGCCGTAGGAACATGTACTCCCAGCAGGCCAGCGAAGGGTGATTGGAGCTCCGCCCGAGCAAGACCCTCACACAGTGAGGGGACTCAGGGCAGAAGAAACAATGCGTGTTACAGGGCCACTCCTACCCAGGATACCCCCACGTAACACAGATGTAGGTTATCCGTAGTCACAGGACGCCTCTCCCAAGGGCTCCTGACGTGGACTACCTGACCGACCAAACACACATATATGTACCGCACCTGTAGGATGCCTCTCCCAAGAGCTCCTGAACCAGGGCGGAAAGTAAACCGAAGGCCCCCTCAGAGGAGGGACCTAACGGTCTAACTCAGTCCGCTGCACTCAGCACGGAATGGGCCACCGACCGGTCCGACACATCCAAAGATAAGACCGGACGAAAGAGGAGGACGACGCCCAAGAAGCCGCACGGCAGTCGTCCTCGACCGTCACCCCCCCTGAGAAGGGCCGTAGAGGCCGCCATCCCACGCGTGGAATGCGACCTGAAGCCCACCGGGAGGGCCAGACCCTGCGTCTGATACGCCCGCCGCACAGCGGTGGCGACCCAGTGCGCCAGCCGCTGAGCCGACAGCGGGGCGCCCCTGTTCTTAGGGCCCAGACACACAAACAGCTGACCACCCAACCTGAATGACGACGTCATGGCCAGGTAATGCCTCAGCATTCTGACAGGACACAGAAGGTGCCACCGCTCCTCCTCGGGGGAGGCATGCGGTGGCGGATAGAAAGCCCTAATCCTGATGACTCTCGACCTAAAGGCCGACGTGATGACCTTGGGGAGAAAAGCCGGATTGGGCCATAATACCACCATGCCGTCGCCCTCTCCAAAGGACAGGCAAGACGCATGGACAGAGAGCGCACACAAGTCGCCCGCCCTCTTAGCAGACGCCAACGCCAACGCCAACAAGAGGGCCGTCTTAAAGCGACACACTCGGGACTCGCCTCCGCCGCCGGTTCAAAAGGCGGACCCGACAGCCCCCTAAGGACCACCCTGAGGTCCCAAACCGGGGGCGTTCTCTGGAGCGGGGGCCTCCTCCTGCGTGCCCCCCGCAGAAAACGTTGAACCAACGGATGAGAGCGGGCTGTGAACCCCCCGAATCCGTCGTGACCCGAAGTAATGGCTGCCGCGAACACCGCCAAGGTGGCGACAGCCCTCCCCTTGTCAAAGAGCTCCTGTAGGAATCCCAGGACCCCCTCCAGCGGGCAACGCCTGGGATCCCAGGAACGAAAACCGCACCAGTCGCTGAAGAGCCTCCACCTCGTGGCGTAGGCCCTCACAGTGGACGGCGCCCTCGCCCCCTGAGTGGTCTCCACCACCGCAGGGGGAAGACCCAGGCCTACGAGGTTCCGCCTCTCAGCCTCCAAACCCAGAGCCTGCGGCCGATTATCGGGCGTGAAAACAGGGCTCCTCCCCCCCCCGGACTAGAGCCCCGGCTCGTCCGGGAGGGCCCAGGGCTCCATCACCGCCCTGCCCCTCAGGAAGGGGAACCACCGGGCATGCGGACTGTCCGGCGCCACCAGGATCACCGACCTCCTCTCCTGTTCGATCCTCCGCAGCAGGACCGGTAGGAGACGCACTGGTGGGAAAAGCGTACAGCAGGCCCCCTGGCCAGGGGTAATGAGCCAGAGCGTCCACGCCTAAGGGCGGCTCGTCCGCGGCCCTTGAGGCGAACCAGGACGGGCACTGTGCGTTTCCTGCACTGGCGAAAAGGTCGACCACTGGACGGCCGAACCTCCGCCAGATCTCCGCAGCTACCCGTGGGGCCAGGCCCCACTCGTCTTGGAGTGGGCCCCCCCCTGGACATCCTGTCGGCCCCCACGTTCCGGACCCCCGGGACGTGGCGCGCCCTGAGGACAGGAGGTGAATCGCCGCCCACAGCAGCGTCACCATCGCCATGCGATGGAGAGCGGGGGACCTGGTGCCCCCCTGCCTGTTCAGATAGGAGACCACTGTGGTGTTGTCTGAGCGCACCATCACGTGTCTCCCCTGCAGCTGAGGAGCAAAGTGCAGCAGTACCCTGTGCACTGCCTCCCTCTCCAGTAGGTTGATGTGACGGGCTGAGTCCGACCAGCAGCCTCCTACAGAACTCTGGCCGAGGACCCCGCCCCATCCTTCGAGCGACGCGTCCGTGAACACCTCCACGTGAGACACGGCGCAGGCCAGAGTCACTCCGTCCCGCAATAGACCCGGAGTGAGCCAGAACCTGATGTTCGATGCTGCCACTTGGGGAACCCAGATCAGCCTCCCCCCGTCCCGGGAGGGGTGAAGCCTGAGGCGTGAGAACCACCTCTGAAAATTCCTCATGTGGAGAAGGCCTAGCCGCACCACAGCATGAGCCGCCGCCATCATTCCCAGCAGGGACCTGAGGCGCCGCGCGGGGACTCTGGGGCCCGCCAGAACCTCCCTGGGTAGACGGGTAGTGTTCATCCGTCTGTCCACGGACAATGCAGCACGGAATGTCACAGAGTCTAGCTGCAGGCCGAGATAGATCATGCACTGAGCCGGTTGCAGCCTGCTTCTACGTCATGGTGCTACGTCCCTTAGCGGACTTCGCTAGTGGGATAACACGTGCACCTATTCGTAGAACTTAAGTTACATTAGGTAACTAATAATTTTCTCCCTGTTCACCACAAAGCCCAGGCGCTGTATGTGGGACAGGACCCAGTGCGTGTGGCTCACGGCCACTTCTCTGGATGAGGCCAGAATTAACCAGTCGTCTATGTAGGTTAAGGCCTCTTGGCTGCTAGGGGCTTAGGCCACTCACGTGTCGCGTAATGGACGAAAGGGTCCGTCCGCGGGCACAACGTGGGTTGCATCCTCCTCCTTCCTCGAGTGGTGGCACCCACAGAGGTGAAGTCCTCCACCGTCTGGATCCAGCGACGACGTCCGACGCCGGAGGGCGAAGGGAACTCGGACGCACAAGGAAGACATCTCAGAATGAAGTAAGTACTGTGGTAGATCTCAAACGGCGCCAGAGTGAAAGAGGGGGTGCGGCCTTGTGCAGGGGCATTTATAGAGGAGGGTGGCTGGTGATTGGAGCAAATTATTTTGATCTCTCTGGCGTGTGACCTGGGGGTCACGAGTGATATCCCACTAGCGAAGTCCTAAGGGACGTAGCACCATGACGTAGAATTGGATATTTGTATATTTGTGTATTTGTAGAAGTAAAATTCTTCTAATATCTATTAATATCCCCCCAGCCCTAGACGTTTTGATCAGGCATGGCGTAAGCTACCTGTGTGTGTAAGCCAAATCTTAAATTATGATTTCTAGTGTTTCAGAGACTGATTTAAAATAAAACATTGTACCTTGAAGTCATTATTTACCGCATTTTGGAAGTGATACCATTCAAGCGTTTTGTTTTTCTTTCTTTGTTTAAATTTATAAGGAAAGAATGGAAGGCATTGTCACTCCCAGAACGTGGGGTCAAGGTTAGGGTTAGGTTTACTATATTGATTCTCGTAGGATATGTGTCCACTACATTTGACCCATGCCATCAGTGAGGGCCGCATTCGCATATGATCCGCATGTGATTACATTTTTTAAATAAGAGTCTAATTATTTAATCTAATCTAGTCTAATTGGTGAGTATCCCAGTATAATATTAAATATTATGTTCCACTCTTTTGCATTATGATTTCTTTTGGGTTTTTTTTGAAGAGAAATCCTTGCAGTTTATATCAAATGATTAGTGAGCTTTAATAAAAGCGTTAACTAAAAACAATGGACTGATTAAACTGCTGAAGGCCTGATTGATTTGTGATTCCTACAGTATAATGACTTCCTGTTACGTACTTCTAATGGATTATGAGTAGAATACACACACCACATACTCACTAATTTCTCATAGTGAATAAATTGAAATAATTATCATAAAGCATGCACTTTCATGTGTCCTACAGCCTACACCTACATGTAGGACCCATCAGTGTGTGCCTGATGAGCCCTTAGTGGTCAGAGGCCAAATAATGTGCTAAATGAGCCTAGTGCTGTTAATACCCCTCTTTTCATCTCTAAATTGGACTCTGGGGCTCTGAGCTGCGCACTGTTCTGTCTGATCCACACGGGGCGCTACGTCCTGTTCAACAGCGGGACAGTGGCGCTGGACGGGATGCGTTTAAAGTTACAGAAGTGAAAATGTGTGTCTGCAAAAGCACATGGTGAGAGCCGCGGCTGAGCGTGTGCTTTGATGCCGCGGCTTCACGACAGCTCAGGCTTTCTGTGGCCTGTGCCTAATGTTTTGCTCCGAACACAAGCCACTTGTCAGAGGATGAGGCTGAGGGGCTGGAGAGGACTGAGTGAATGTGAAAGTGTGAGAGGAGAGAGAGAGGAGAGGATCCACAGCTCCACACTGACACAGAGAGAGAGAGGAGGGGAGGAGAGCTCCGTCGCTCCCGTGCACTTGGCAGTCTAGTGTCGGGCTGCTGCTGCTGCTGCTGTCGTGGCGTGGCTGGTCGCGCCAGGCGGGGAACTTTACCACACTGGAGCCCGGAGTCCCACTCTCTCACCTGCGCAGTTCGGAGCTGCCATGGGTCTCTCGCCTGGATTTACTCTGCTAATTCTTTTACCGGCCTTTATGCTGCACACCAGCGGCCTTTACATCGCCAGTAGCGTTGGTAAGAAACGTGTTCAGTGTTTACGTTCCTCTCCCTATCACCGTCCCCATCTGTGAGTCTTCTTCTCTCTTGCATGGGAATAACACCGTGCAGGCTGCTCAACTTCTCTGTGCTCGCACTCTGGTGTTGTTAAGCACACTTTCCCGGCTGTTTAGAGGAGTCACAGACACAGGAGCGCCGATTGTTCTGTCAGATTGTGCGGGGAAGTAGGGGAGGCTGACATTAACTGTCGCAGATATCGATCTGTCATAGGACGCTGGAGTCGGATCGGATGTCAGCATATTGATCAAACTATTATCCAATCACCACAGCGACACACAACGCAAGACAAAAAGAAACATTCATTTGTTTATTCCCAAACTTCAGCTGTAAGAGTGGGATCTGGAATCCTGTGCAGTCCAAGGCTCCTGACTCTTTAATAGTCTTTGCAGCGTGTGGGCGCGAGGTGCACGTCTCGGGTCGCGTCCAAATGATGCGTGTGTTGTCCCTGTGAACCTAATGTTGTCCCTGTGAACCTCATGTTGTCCCTGTGAACCTCATGTTGTCCCTGTGAACCTCAGAGCACAGTCTGAACTGTGGTTTCTCTCAAAGCTTTGCTTAGTGCTTTCTACATTAAGTTTGGAATGGAGTTGAGGATGGTGAGGTAAACGCATGTGTTATCTTCTCTGGAGTTAACAGAGAGACAACAGTATGAGAAAGGTGCATTCGCCTCTTGATCCTGAGCTGACTTTCCTGTTGAGGAGGAAGGGCACAGAAGTGTCAGGGCTCCGCGCTCTGCTGAGGCGGCCGTTTCCAAACGCGCAGTGCGCCGCACCAGCGCCGGGGTCGCCTCTGGGCTTCTGGGTGGGGCTGAGTGTGAACATCAGTGTGTCTGTGTGTGTAAAGGTAGATCTGAATCATGTCGGGGAAAGAGGTGACATGGAAACGTGCTTTATTGTGCACTGTTTGGCTCTTTAGGTCAAGGTAACATAGTCTGCTTATAGTTTTGTTCAAGCCCCGCTCCTCCAGCGTTTATATAATGTGTGTGTGTGTGTGTGTGTGTGTGTGTGTGTGTGTGTGTCTATGTGTGCGTACGTGCGTGCGTGTGTCAGGGCCAGCCATGGCCTTCTGGGGGCTCGAAGCGGGATTTACTTTGTGGCCCTATACCAGATCAGCAGCACTAACCGATGTATGCTAATGTGACTGCTGTGATCTCTCCATCTCTATTCTGTGAATGTGACACATGACACATAACATATTATAACGTTATCACAACAACAGTGGATCATTTCTGATCTCCTGCCACACACGTTCTAAACACCTGGCCCTAGGCTGCATCCTTGAAAACAGCTCTGATATGTTTCCAGCCTTCTTGCATTTTACCATTTTATTGAATTTACAGTTCAACGCTAGGCCCTGATTAGTAAAATTATAACAAACAAGTTAGTTAGATAACTCTTATTATTATGTAATTAAAGAGCCATATGAAATGCATTCAGTGCCTTTTGTTTTACCAAAGGAAATACATATTCAATACTTCAAAAAATATGTATAATAATATCAGAATATCAACATATTATAATAAGATGTAATTAATTAACTATTGATCATATGAGTGAGTAGACGAGTAAAGAAAGTATGGTATTAAAGATCACAAAAAATTGTTACGGCCAACGGACAGCGGTTGGACACAATTTGAACCAATATTGAACCAGATCTAAACCAGTTCTAAACCAGGACTGGAGCAGGTCTAAACCAGGACTGAAGCTGCTATAAACCAGGTCTGGACCAGGACTGTACCTGATCCAAACCAGGACAGAAGCCAGTCTAAATCAGGACCGAAGTAGGTCTAAACCAGGACTGAAGCAGGCCTAAACCAGGACTGAACCAGATCCAAACCAGGACAGAAGCCAGTCTAAACCAGGACTGAAGCAGGTCTAAACCTGGACTGAAGCAGGTCTGCCCCAGATCTTTACCAGGACTGAAAGAGGTCTAAGCCAGATCTTAACCAGGACTTAAGGAGGTCTAAACCAGGGCCTTACCAGGACTGAAGCAGATCTAAACCAGGACTGAACCAGGACAATATCAGATCTATTCTAGGACTGATTTAAACCAGGACTGAAGCAGGTCTGAACCTGGACTGAAGCAGATCTAAACCATGACTGAAGCAGGTCTAAACCAGGACTGAAGCAGATCCCAACCAGATTTGAAGCAGGTCTAAAGCACTGGTAGAAAGCACATAGCCCTTGTTCTCGTAGTATTGTACCTGCAGACGCCTCTGGTCACTTTATCTGCACTCAGAGGGATGTATGCTCCTCCTCCACGTTTGCATCTGTAGGACTGGAACTGCAATAGTGGCAGTGGAGGAACGTGCACTTCTTCCAGCCAGATCGGGGACCTGAGCAGCTGCTTATTGGGTGCTCAGGGTGGGCCGACTCTGTTCTGCGTGCGTGTGTTTATACCTCATATGAAACATGTTTGTGATGTCAGTTGTGTCATTTCTCTCTGTCTCAGACTCCCTGCAGCACGTCCTGGGGGAGTATGGACTGGTGAGGCCTGTGAGTGTGGATGCAGAAGGCCGCTTCCTGTCACATGCCGTATCAGCGGAGCACCTGACTGGAGGGCAGCCTCGTAGGCGCTGGAGGAGGGAGGTACAAGCAGGCAATGATGAGTGGGAAGGACCAGACTCAGAGGACAACCAGGAGTCCGCCGCACAGCAGGAAAATCTTTACTACAATGTCACCGTCTTCGGCCGGGAGTTCCACCTGCGCTTGCGCCACAACGCCAGGCTGGTGGCCCCCGGAGCCAAGATGGAGTGGCACGATGACAGCGACAGCATTCGGCACACAGAGGCTCTGCACGACCAGTGCCTGTACGTGGGGGACGTCCCAGACACGCCCGGCGCCACAGTGGCCATCAGCAACTGTGATGGACTGGTAAGTGAATCAATCTGCTATACACTCGTTTGTTTACCAAGTGACAACTGAAAGAGAGACATAAAACAAATAACATAAAACTCTGGCCAGTGAGTTTCAGCTTAATCCGAATGTAAATGTGGCCTTTGACCTTGATGCGCTGCAGTGCTCTGCTCTTGGGCCTGGGGCCTCCTGTGTGACAAGCGGTACTCTTGTCCTCAATATTTCAGCAGAACTGAAATGTTTGCTCATCCGTTTTCTCTTTCACTTGTTGCTATAGTGTTTGACAAGGGGCTTGTGATTTGATTATGGCACTTGGATAATTGTAGAGAATTTGTAGCTTGAAGTGTAAATGCTTTTAATAGACCCAACATAATTATTCGAGAGAGGCAAAGGAAATCGCAAACAGTTGGTGAATGGCTGTTGAGAATTGAGTGAAGTGAGACGGTGTGAAGGAGCTTGACGAGATTTGCTGAGAGGAGAACATGTTAAAACAGAGATGAAGTCAGGAGACAACATTAAATCTTGTGCAAAGTAACCCGTGGACTCAGGCGAGGGAGGACGAGTCCCTCTATTAGGGAATGTGTTCATTAGTCAGCCAGATTGGCCTACCGCTGGAGCTGAGTAGCAGCAACTGGATCCGTTTAGGGTTGAGGACACTGGGGACTGAAAGCAGCTGAGAGAGCAGGCAGGGAGCCAGCACAGGCCTGACATGCTCACTTAGGCTGACACCAGCCAGAGGCATCACAGCTCCTGCTCAGGGGCCACCACACAACGGCCATCTCCTTTAAGCATCATGCACAGCTCAGGCCTGTTTGCTCTGTAATTGTTTAGGAGGCAATAATTTTGACACCCACTCTAACATATTATACAATTTTTTTACTGACTACAGCTAAGCAATATATTAGCTAAGTGTACATATGTATGTACTGTATGTATGGCAGTATTAATGTGGTCCATGAGGACCATAACGCATTACACAGAGGGCCGCAATTGACCTGCGAGCCTTTAGTTTGGAAATGCCCATTTATTGGATGTAGAAATCCAAGTCAGTCAATTAATTTAATACAACGGGTTATGTAAACATATTTTAAAAACTAAACATTTAGGCTTTTTTAGGTAAAGTAAACGCTCAGACATGGTATGGTATGCTTTATATTTATACAAAGACAGTGTACAATGAAACTGTATTCCCTGGGCCTGTCCATGTAAGAGCAGACTAAAAACAGAAGCTAAAAGTAAATGTATAGATTGTAAACATATAGGCTGTCAATTATTCATGACAAGTAAATATATCCGTTATCAGTTTTGGTGCATACTATAGTGGGGGTAATTGTATTTGTCAGCTGCAACTCTGAACTTGTCATGAATAATTGACAGCCACATTTAATTCAGTACAGAGGCACATGATACTTCATAGAGCTCTTCTACTTAGGTGAACCACAAGTAATCTCTGATATATTATAGAGCTCAACAAATAAAATAAGGAATGATGACATACATCGAGAAAGAATTCAGATTTTCTACCACGTTTTTTCCCAAGATTTGTAGAGTGATTAAAGAATGTTTGAGTAATGTACATTACTACAGTCCCGGATCTATAAACTGCCCGTCTGTAGGAGGTATACACGAGGTTCCTCACGTTTCTCCCAATTGTTTTTTTTGTTTTTTTTTAAGGAGGGTTTATGAACAATGATAATCTGGGGCATTTATTGACATGTAATGACATTTATGGGCATTGGTCATGGCTCCTATGTAGATCAAAGGCTTCTATGTGTTTGTTATTATGGCATATCCTGTTTTCATAAGTTGATTAACTGTAGTGATTTAGGGCAATACAGGTGTAAATTACAGAAAAAAAAGTTTATTATTTGGAATCACCTTTGAGTATCACTTTAGCAGACCTGTTTTTCTATTCATATAATTCATTTTGTGATATAGTTACATTTTAGAGTATTTTGTTTTCCTCCATCATTAATAAACTTTATGATCAGCTTCTCCATTGGCCTGAGCCTGAGCTGTTGTTAGTGCTGAGTATGGCGTGGTTTGTGGTTCAAAACAACTGACCAATCTGTCGCCAAATTTGGCTTAAGCTCGAGTAGCACATGAAGAGACAGAGTGGCTCTGCTTCTGAATGGTGCTTTGTAACGTTTATCTAAATTTGTCTCCACACTTTCGCTCAAATAGCCAGTTCGAGTTTTGACCTCTTCCATTAAAGTTAACACTATGGATGACGTCAGCACTGAGTCAGTCCACTCCTAATATTCAGTCTATACTCACAGCACACACATGTCAACAATAACCAATATTGTTATTGTTGACATGTGACACATGTTGTTAAAGCAATAGTGAGCCTCCTCATTCAGATGCTTTAAGGGTTAAAACAACACTACTTTTTGATTGTAAAAAGTTGGCGAGGTGTGAAAAGGGCACAGGGAGTAGATATAGGGAAGAACAAATGGCCATAATAAATAGCAAGTGCAGAGTGCACATGGAAGAGGGGAATCTCTTGGTGTGGATAAATGACCTTTGCAGGGAATTGGATTTGTGTAAGAGACGCTGGGATCAGCTGGTTAGCTCTGTCGCAGCTGGAGCTCGGCAACCACAATATCTCCTTTATTCATAATATTTAATTCATCTACTAATGCATTGTACTTATTCATTTGATTGTTAGTTGCTAATCCCTCATATTAGTAATTAGTTGTTGTTTTAACGACACAGTCAATATGAGAGGCTAAAGTTGTTCTTAAAACCACAAACAAATACCATTTAATAAAATCCTCTTCCTCAGAACAGTTTGGTTCTATCACTATTCTTCATTATACATGTATTTTTGTTCTCTGTCACATCTTGAGATCAGTGGAACAGGCAACTTCACTCTTTCCATGGAAATATTGAGCTTCTGTTGAAAAGTCAATGAAATATAAGCTGCTTTCTGTGGAGTTGTGCGTGTGACAGTTGTGTTATTGAGTCAGTGTTATTGATTCTAAATGGTCACATACACTTCTTTTTCCCACTAATCGTTGCTGGTTCTGCTAAGCCGTATATTGTCTAATTTCTATTTTCAATTTATGGCATAGTTTAGCCGACCTGAGGAGAGGTCAAATGGGCAGATCATGCAAGTCGACCCAGGAATTTACAGGAACTGGATGCTTTTGCCAAGTAGAGAGGGCAGCTTCACCGTCAGGATAAAGAGCTTCATCCACAGCTGTCATAGATGTGAAACTGCGTACATAGAATCCTTCAAAAGTATCGAGATGTCCTGCACCTCAGTGAACGATATCTTCTGCCAGAGGAAAGAAGCTGGAACATGGCTTTCCCAGGGGCCAGAAGAGTCATTGATTATTATTATATAAACAAATCACAAAAAGGTTACAAAACAGGAGAATGCCTGAGAAAATAAGGAGATTATATTAACCAAGAACAAAAATAAGATGCATTTATTTATTTTTTTTCGGAACGGCTCGGCTCTTAGATGGGAAGCAGCATGTAACTGCACATTGTCCAAAATAAAATAAATGTATTTAGGGGGATACAAAAATACATTTAATTGAAATGTATGTTTAATAACAGAAGTAAATGGCGTGTACTGCCCCTTTTTGTTAAAGGGGCAGTACACGCCATTAAGAACTGGGGGATGGAAACTTCTAACCAGGGTCATTTTAGTAGTTTCTGTTGTCTTTCATATGTTGACACAGAACACACAATCACCATAACCTCCTAAATATGGCCGACATATCTGTACATGTTTCTGTGAGCGTCTTATCAGGTCAAAGCTGTAAAAGTGTCGGGCTCATGCGGAGACCGGCCTGCAGTCTGTGGCCATGTAGGTGTGAGGTCAGGTGCTTTTGGATTTGGTTTTTTTGGGATCTGTGCGCAGGAATGTGCCGAGTCAGCAGCCTCTCTCTTTCTGCACACGCACAGGTGAACGAATCGCACAAAACGCTATGTATGAATTTTAATGTGTTTATTCATTTCCATTCTGTGCATGTGTCAATCAATCTATTTAATATCAATAATAATAATGATAATAGTAATAATAATAATGCACCGGTTTTTCTATAGTGCTTTTCAGGACACTCAAAGACTCATTATTCTTCCCTCCATACTATAAATGAGTGGAGTCTGGCGTGCTCCTGCTTGGTTGGAGTGAAATCCCGCAACCGCACTGGCCCAGTTTGACGCCTCTGACATAGACCCTCCTGTATCATAAAGAAAGAAAGGCAGAAAAGAAAGATAGTCCTTTATTCCTCCCACAGTGGAGACATTTCAGTTCGATGAAGACACATGCACACATCAAGGTGTGCAGCGTACAATTACTTCCGCGCTCCTTTCAGGCAAAATGGGTAAAGTGTCTTGCCCAAGGACACAACGACAACAGACATCACCTGGGGTCGTCGGAGATGGTCTTGTGGATCGAACCCACGACATTCAGGCTCAAAGACCAAAGCCAATGTCCAGCGAGGAATGACTCAAATCTTTACAGGGGCCGATGGAACGAGTTTGAATATGACAAAACCATAAACATAAAGGACAAAAACCATGGATGAAATACTGACATGTTCCCAGCTGCCCAGAAAGAACTCACATTCATTCAGAAGAGGAATGATGGTTTGATTGTCGGCTGTAAAGTCCGGGAAAGAAAACGAGCAGATAATTTACTTTGATGCGATGCGAGTATAGTTTTTATGTTTTACTGTGTATTTATTGATTGAAGCATAATGTTTAAGTAATCACTACAAGGGAGCAATGCTGATTAATCGTCATAATTAAAGTAATTGCCGCACTTGCACTGTTGCCAGTAGCTCAGTCACGCACAGGGTGTTCAGAGAGAAAAATATATTACGCTCTTATAATTTAACGCAGCTCCTGAAATAATCGCTTTTGACAAATGGCAGGTGGCTCCGGGTTACCGTGGGAACAGCAGGTCACACGTGAGAAAGTTTCCAGTCGTCTCCAGGTTTAGAACAAAAACAGCTGCACACACCTGGAGAGACGCACACACACAAACTCACAGTGAAGTTTGAAGCATTTTCAAGAACTAGGGCTGCACGATTTTGGCAAAATATAAATACATATAGATTAAGCGATCCATTATTTTTCCCACAGTGGGGAAATTTCGGTGTTGCATCACAAGTTATTGAACAGTAGGAAAGAGAAGCACACGGCACACGTTAAGTGAACAATAGCTATACTAATTAAAATAAAACAAAATCTCTAACTCTAGCATCAATAATATGTATAAAATCTCTATCTTGAAAATAATAATAAAAATGAACACTTGGCAAAATACAGAGATCTGACCAGCGTTCTGATATCCTGTATGTTTAGGAAAGGTTAAAGGAGTTTGAATTACAAAACATATTTGAAAATCGTATACCTCGTTTTTGTGAATAGCCTAGATTTAGTTTCGTTTAGTTTATAAAAGGACAATATGCATTTACATTTATACTTGTGCTCCTCTTTCCTACTGCTCTGTAACTTTTGATGCAACACCAATTTTTCCCCACTGTGGAGGCAATAAAAGATCTCTTAATCTTAATCTACAATAAAAAGATGGCTGCCCCAGATTAAGCACCATGTTACTTTCCATTTGTAGTCTTTGACAATACGATCATTAGACGTTCATATTGATATACAGTTAAAAAGTTCATGGAAAATTATTAGTAATTTACTGGTATACTCCTTCTTAAGCAAATCCTTTCTAATGTTTTTCCAATGACAAAAGATGTTGTTACTAATTGTTAGATGCATACAACTTTTTGACACATTTGACACTGAGAAAAGATTCAGATTATATACAAACACATACAAGCTAAGTCATTCTGATATTTTCTCACAGAATTTGTATAAGCAGTATTTATAGACCTGAGTTGCAAATACCTCGGCCTATCTGAATGATGCTTGCTTGTTTCCATAGACAACACAGTAGCTTGCGTTTTGTTTATTACTATTCGCGATTGTGTATTCACCGCTCAAAGGTTGACCTCGTTTTACAGCCTGAGTCCTGGATCTAAGGCCGACCATCTGTGGGAGTTTTTCCTTGCCGATATTGGAGGGTGGTGATGTTCCAGGACACTTGACATACAACGGCATTTATCAACATTTATGGACAATGGTCATCTGCCTCTTATGGATCAAATGCTCTGTGTGTTTTCTAACATTGCATTTCTTGTGCTTCTGTTTCATTCTCTGATCTGTGTTGGCAAATTCAGAGGTTTTGTTAAGATTTCTGAGATAATACTGTCGTGATTTAGAGCTACGCAAGAATACATTGAATTGAATTGAAAGTACGGCAACATAATTATATATGAGAAGAAGTTTTGCGGCCATCATTACCTGCTACAAAGCCACACAGGCTCCTGCTGCTGTCCTGCTGTCTGCACCTCTGGCTCCGTCTCATTGTCAGCCTCACGTTCTGTGGCCAGCAGCGGCAGCAGGAAGCCACAGAGAGCTCACCTAATGATGGTATTAAAAGAGTCAAAGAAAATGACAGAGAAAGAGGAAGAACGTGGCAGACAGCTTTTGGCTTCAACACCCGCAGACTCCGAGACAGCAGAGACATGCTCCTTTAGCGAGAGCTTTGTCTGTTTTTAGCTGCAGCCCTCGCTCTGCTCCCAGCGCTGATCACAAACTGGTGCTGAGGGTACAGTGGCCGTCGTCAGCGTTCAAATGTGAGATCCAAGACAAAAAGGCAGGATTGAAATTAACATGTGGGAGTTCTTCTTAAAAAATGTATATTGTGTTGTTTTACCACTGCTTCTTGTGTTCACTCCTGAGATAAAAAAAGACAGTGCTACAGTATTGTGCTGTATGTGTTTTGTGTGTGTCTCAGAGCGTGTGTGTGTGTTCATGTGTGTTATTGGTGTGCAGTGGGGCGGCAGCAGTCTTATTTTAGCACCTACACGGAGGAGAGACGCTGAAGCTGTGACACTTTTCTGAAGGTGCTAGCACATAGTTTATTTAACACAACTCAAATCAAGAACGATTTGGCACAGATAATATCTGCTGCAGAGACGATCATGTGGAAGTGTAATGATGGCAATATGTAACCTGGATGCCCTGGTTTAGGGGACGCACAATACCTACATGGGCTGCCATTGATTTTTATCTTCAACGTTGTCCACAGCTTGACAATCATTCCATAAAGACGTCATAATCTTTACAATTGGAATGACATTTTTTCCATTTCTTACTTTCTTTCTTAAATAAACGGTAACAACTGGATTTGGGCTTTAAAATCAGGTATGACATGAATATATTTATTTATCTTTAGTTAAAACTGTGATTGCTCATTTTCTCACTGGCTACTGGAATCTTTGAGGTTCTAAGCTTTAAAATGATACATGTGAACTCGGGTTTGTCTCAGCCTTGAGCTAATCTTAACATCTTCAATAATAGTTTAATCAGAGCTTTAAAGTGAGTTCTAACATGTCTCTATTGGAAATGTTTGAGCAAATGAGCTGTGGAGAAAATAATTATTCAATAAATACTGCAAAAAATGTGTGAAATCTTAATTACTGATGTGTGGCGAGACATTAGGAACGGACTGACTTAATAGGCAAAGCGATAAATCAGCCGTTTCCCATTATTAATAAAATATTCTAATTTTTGAGATGTTTTACAAGCTGTGAGACAATTATCAATAATGTAACAAACACAAGTTTGTCTCACTTTTGTTCTGTCATTTATTAGTTTCACATTGTGGTGAATTGAGTTTGTATCCATCCAAGTTCTCATATACCCTTTGGGACATAGGTGACAAGTGACCCGCCCTGCACCAGCCAATCAGCTCTCACCCCAAGGCATCTTATACAGTAGTTATAGAAAGTTACTCATTAATAGTTTAAATAATTATGTTTTAATTGGTCAATCTCGCTCTCTCAATAAGCTTACTTTTTTTATACTTACTCGACATTCAACCATTTTTAAATCTTTATTTGATTTGGGACAGTGCACATCATTCAACATGTGTTTTTCAACATGTAAATGTGCCCTCTGAGATACCGTATCAACTGTTGTGATTTAAGGCTATACAAAGAAAAAAAACAATTAATTAAACGTACTTAATAGTACAGTATAGCGACTCACATTGGCTCTTTTTTGAGATTTGTATTTTTTATTATTTAATTGCAAGACTTTTACAGCACTTTTACAGCAACAAGTGACCCATGTATGTGAAGGAGCGAGGTAGCCCGTCACAAGTTACTCATTTCAGTTCAGATACGCCTCTATTGTTGAGAAAAGGCCACCGTTATCCCACCAAATTGTAAACGCCGCGACATGCCCACTTGCACTGCCTCTCCATCCGCTCACTCATTACTTTTCTATTAGAATTGAACAGCGAGAGCATGAAGCGAGCCCAGCCAACCGTCCGACGCCAGCGCAGTTAAGCTCGGTCAGGCGTGGCGCTCCCTGGACTCGCGGCGTGTTATTCCACCGCGGGTCACACGATAAGCAGCTCTCCACTGTAATCAGCTCAAATTGAAACGGTGACATCAATTACGGTGCGACGCACAGCTGTTATTGACCCTGGCCTTTCTCTCTTCGCGTCGAGGCTTTGTGTGTGGGAAAGAGACGAGGATGAGGAGGCGGAGTGGAGTTGGGATCCACGGGGCCGAAGGGAGGGCCAGGTGCACGGTTGAGAGCGCTCAGACATGAATGAAGAGACATGAGAGAGAGTCAGAGAGAGAGAGAGGCTAAGCTGTGCTATCTGATTGCAGGTTCCACATCCCGCAGTGTAGCTCCACTCAAACACACAATTACTCAATCTAGAGCTATTATCAGACAGAGAGAGCGCGGTAGAGTCGGGCAGATCGAGAGCGGCCCGTTTCGGAGGAGAAAAGGAGTGCTTTTACCAGAGCTGTGATTACGGCTGTTCACTGTGTGCACTTAACCAGCCCCCTCGCCGTTGCCTCTGTCATTCACAAGCAGCGGCACAGCTGATTGTTTTGAGTGGCGGAAATTACAGGATTCACCCAAGAAAATTGCTCGGTGGAACCCCAATGATTACAGGGGAACACCTCGCTGATGTCACTGATATTGGGTTCTCTATTAACGGAAAACTACTGCGTAGTGAGGGCTAGACCAACCGTTTTTTTGCTGCTATTTCTTATCATTGACAATAAAGAACATATTTTGGCTCAAAAGAACTAAATTCAGAGGATTAGAAAAATGTTCAAATGTTCAGTTTTTTTGTGATTCAACCTAAAATATGAAACCACTATATGATATAGACTCACAGTCTTGCTGTTCAATGGCTAAATATTCTTATTCAGGCTCTTTACAGCTGAGCGCCATAGTCATCAACATTACAACAAATAAAGACTGGATATATCTCACTTTGCATGAAATAAGTCCGTCATGAATTAGTTTCACATTGTTAGTTGTATTACAGAATTCCATTAAATTCAATCTATTTTGGCAAAGGCCTGAATGACAACAGCAGTTTTCACCAGTGTTGGTCAGTAACGCGATAAAAGTAATAGTTACTTTTCTGAGTAACGAGTTAAGTAAGTGATTACATCTGCAAAAAAGTAACATTCACTTTCTTCTTAGCAGAGTTACAATGCGTTACAGAACCGTGAGTGTTGTGACTTTTGTCTTGTCGACTTGTGACAAATGAATGAGAGACGTGGGCAACGTAAATCATGATAGTGAGCATGAATTATTATCACTGCGAGCGAGATTCTTTTGTTTTATCGGTGAAAAATATATGCACCATTTTAACTAAATGCAGCCAACATCCTCCAACCTTTTAAAACACTTTCAGCGTCACAAAATCTACGGTCAACACTCAGCTATTAAACTAGTCGCTATAGAACGTCTCAGCTGCTGCTGCCTCCGACAGCATGACACCAACACGCTGGAAAAACCTGGACTTGAATGATGCTGTCAGAAAACCTCAAAGACGGAAATAAAAAGACAGGTGTATGTTGTAGAAGAGATGCCGTCTTTCAGATACATTTTATGTAAAATGTGCGGATGGATTGGACAGTGACAGAATGATAGCGAGGACGACCACGGAGCATTTCATTCATGGAGATGGAACTTGTTCAAAGTAACTTACCCAAAACTGGTTGTCACAAAGGACTTTACAAAGTTTTGGTTTCGCCAACAACAGATATCAGAGAATTTATCAATTTGAACACAGGAAATACAATGCGGCCATTGGTGCTCAGGGAGCGGGATGACCACTGACCATAAATGTTAATAATTGTCCCGGGTCATCACTGTCCTTAGACCCTTCTGCATCTACAAGAAACAAAACCGGAAGAGGAAATGGATTTTTTTAACGATTTTCTAATTTCCTGTGTTTCATCTGTATATCTGACCCATAGTTGTTTGTTCAGTTTGAATACATGTTTACATTCAGGGAAATTGATTATAAACTAACATAAACAGTGTATCACTTTTGACGGGGACAGTAGTGCTGACAGTGCCACCAGGCAGACTCGATCCCCAACTTACTACACACACAACCCAAAACTTTATACAGTATAATTCTTGGTCAGATTACCTGTGATCACATACTCACAATAAATATATGCACCAAGGACTGTAAAAGTAGAGAGCTGAGGGGCTGGAGCAGGAGAAGGCACTGAGCAGGAGAAGGCACTGAGCAGGAGGAGGCACTGTGCAGGAGAAGGCACTGAGCAGGAGGAGGCACTGTGCAGGAGAAGGCACTGAGCAGGAGGAGGCACTGAGCAGGAGGAGGCACTGTGCAGGAGAAGGCACTGAGCAGGAGGAGGCACTGTGCAGGAGAAGGCACTGAGCAGGAGGAGGCACTGTGCAGGAGAAGGCACTGAGCAGGAGAAGGCACTGAGCAGGAGGAGGCACTGAGCAGGAGGAGGCACTGAGCAGGAGAAGGCACTGAGCAGGAGGAGGCACTGAGCAGGAGGAGGCACTGAGCAGGAGAAGGCACTGAGCAGGAGGAGGCACTGAGCAGGAGAAGGCACTGTGCAGGAGAAGGCACTGAGCAGGAGGAGGCACTGAGCAGGAGAAGGCACTGAGCAGGAGAAGGCACTGAGCAGGAGAAGGCACTGAGCAGGAGAACCACACGCCCCTCCTCTTCTGGCTAATGGAGAGAAGTCAATGGTCAGTAGAGTGTTCGTTCAGTGTCCAGTGTGGACAGACTACTGCAGGATCATCAACATTATGATGAAATTGACAAAATGAACTGTCAAATTATTAGAACAGTAAAGTACTTGATACTTAACATTTTTTAAAGCTGGACCTACACTGTGATTAGTAGAGGACTGGGATGAATTATAAGGAGCACTTATCTGGAGTATTTTCCTTTTTGAAAAATCAATCAATCAACTTTTATTTGAATAGCGCCTTTCCTACACACGGCAACACAAAGCGCCTCACAAGAAAACAGAAACAGAAACCAACACACAGTGTCGTGAAGGCGATTTCAAATGTGCACACTACAATAATGCTGTTGGTGTCTTTGCCACACTAGTTAGCAGTTGATCTAATCCAAAAGACGAAGTATTCAGAGTAAAGTGCTGGATTACAGTGGCAAGGCGGGAGATGTATCATTAAAGTTGTAGAGCAATATATCTTGATCTTGCCTAACAGTATAAATTAATACATATAAATACCAATTACTTAGACAAATAGATTTTATTCTTGGCCTGTGCGCCCTCCTGTCCGTCACTCTTCAGTGGAGCACTCCTTCAGGACCCAGAGCTGAGAGGATCAATGGAAGCTGCATCAGCACTTCTGCTGCTAACTGGCCTCCGTGGGACATTGTGGAAACAGGACGAGACATTCACTCCGCCTTATCCCCCTTTCCCACTACGGCCTGTCCTGTTGTGTTTCTTCTACCAGACCTTGGCTTTATTACCATGGTGTTTACACAACAATATCAGGAAAATATTGTCTAATATTGCTCTGTCTGGTGAGCAGTTAAATATACTGATAAGCTTGCATGCCAAATGCCCTCGTCAAACCCAGTTCTCTGCTTTTATCCAAGCCTTTGTTTCATAAGTTCAGGACAAATAGGTTCAATTTCAAAGCAGAAAGTTTTTCAGTTGTCGTCCTTTTCTAAGAATAGATTTAGGAAATAACTGCTTTGAAAACAGAATGCTTTAGTCTGTGTCTGGTGTAATTAGTTGTATTTGTTCTTTCCTTGTGTTTGGATTGTAGTGTCTACAGCTTCTTTAATGGTATAGAGCTGGTCCTTGTATGTGCTCTGCTCTGCGCAGGCAGCAGGAGAGCTTAAGCGGCAAGAATCACACCTCACAACAGAAAATCACACTTCCTCATCTTACTAAGACTGCCTGTTTTTGTTTTGTCGGAAAGGAAACAAGAAAATAATCACTTTTCCTGTTACAGTGTTTTATATTTGGGTTTTTGCTAGTGCACAAGCGTGTAGGGAATTGTTGGTGTACCAGCATATGTAATATATTATATAATAATATATTGTATTCTAATAACTTGCTGTGTGTGGGCTGGAGTGAAGCAGCTGAAACAAAGAAACACTAGTGCTTTGATCACTGTGACTGATCATCTGCCAGAGTGTACAAGAGAAGCTTTGGATACTGACTGCAATTATATAATGCTGTTCGCCAAGATGTGAGACTTTCAGATGACCTTGTCCACATGCAGCACTTTGTTTGACTGAAGAGCAGTGGAAGGTGTGTGCAGTACAGTTTGTCAGATTTAAATCAGGAAAACGCTTCAGCTTCAATCCTCCATGAGCAGAAGTCCTCTGCAGCAGCAAGGTACATACATAGATAGATAGATAGATACTTTATTGATCCATGTAGACGTGAGACATTCAGGTGTCCAGTAGCAGCACAAACACATGCATCTATACAAACAAAACAAATGAAATAGATAAATAGATAAAAAAAGGTTCAAACCACTGAAGAAGGTGACATGTCTGGGATCGCGTCTTAAATTCAGACAGAAGACATGTTTTATTGTCGATGGTAGAGACAGCACGAACAAAGCACACGATCACAGAAACAATAGAATGCAAGTGTATTATACAGAGCGGAGGCATGGAGACCTCCAATCAGCAGCTTCCACGGTGTGCTTGTAGCTTGGCCTTCAGATAGACAAAACAAGGGAAAAGTACAGGCTTCTGCACATTGATAGAATGATGACTTTAACTTTAACAAAAGTTGCTTCAAAGTGTTATGAAATCTCACATTCCCCCCTCTGGTCATACATTCACGTGTGACCATCAGGATCGATAAACAGCAACATAACATCATAACTCAATACTTCAAAAACTCATAAACTCGGTACTTCAAAAAACTCAGAACTCGGAATACTTCAAAAACTCATAAAACTCATAAAACATGTTCAGATCTTTCATAAAACTTGTCAACAATCTTCAGTAAAATACCAAACTTCATCAGTCGATGGTGGTTCCAGATATTGCTTTGAAAACAGTCTCTCCCACTTCTCCTGTTGGTTTCTTCAAGCTGCATTTGTGTCGAGCCATGAATTCTTCTGTGACGTGTCTTTCAATCACACGTTTCAGCTTTAGTGTCCAGATTCAGAAATCCAATTCAGTCCAAATTATGTCCAAATTCAGAAATCCAATTGTTCCAAATTATGTCCTTGCAAAAGAGGACGATGGTGTTGTCCATGTCTCAGCAGCTCACAGCCTGACTGGAATCAGGGGCTGTGCAGATTGTCCAAGTGTGCTGATCCAGATGCATTCTCTTGAGGTTTCTCAGTTTTGGCTTGAAAAAAAAAACCACATTTTTGTGTAAAAAAAAAAAAGTCTTCTGTTCTCTAGATGTTACAGACAAGGCCCGCATCCTTCCACCACCTGAAGAAGATGACAAAGTCTGGGATCGTGTCTTAAATTCAGACAGAAGACATGTTTTATTGTCAATGGTAGAGACAGCACGAACAAAGCACACGATCACAGAAACAATAGAATGCAAGTGTATTATACAGAGCGGAGGCATGGAGACCTCCAATCAGCAGCTTCCACGGTGTGCTTGTAGCTTGGCCTTCAGATAGACAAAACAAGGGAAAAGTACAGGCTTCTGCACATTGATAGAATGATGACTTTAACTTTAACAAAAGTTGCTTCAAAGTGTTATGAAATCTCACACCACTTTCTCTGCTCTGGCCCAGAGTAAAATGCTGAATGCTTTGTTAGCATTTAGACTTCTCCAGTTAAAATGCAGAATCAATAAGTGTCATGACGTCCTCTCTCAACAGGAAGCCTTGCCTTGTTCCTATGGACTGAAAAGCTATATTGTTATTACAACTGCAAATAGTATAATCACTCTGGAGATGTTTATTATACTGTTATATTGAAGATTTCTAGAACCTAGGAACCAACCTAGGATGCATCATTCTGACTCTTGTTTTGTCTTGTTTGCACTTTACGTGTTCTTTTTCCGAATTCACTCTGGAATTTCCACAATGAACTCTGTCAAGGCATGCAGTCTGTGACCTCTTATCTCGATCCTGATGGCTGATATCATACGTACTGCTGTAAGAGTGTGTTGGAGTCTTCCTCTCTGCTCACTCTTTATCCTTACACTCAGCTTTATCTTAAACGCTGCTCTGTGGATCCACTTGAGTCTGATGCCACACATCCACCGCCATGACTGACAGCTTCACCAGGAACACAAGAGAGCATGGTTTTCTTTTATGGGATAATCTCCAGCTCCTCTCAAGCCAGCACACATACATTCATACACACACACACACACAAATGCACCCACACATACACTCCTGGTTTTATAGACATACACACAGCGCTCTCACAAACACGCTCGCGCACTCACACACAATATATTGATGCCACAGTTATTCACTACAGTAGAGATGTGGACTGTGACCAGTCCACATCTGGTCACAGATGTCTGGTCACAGATAAGTCACAGATAAGAATCGCCGGTGCTTTTAAACAATTAATTAGTTGGACCAGGTCTAATAAACAGCATCACCGTTAGAGGCAAGACAAGGCAAGGGAATTTTTTTTGCATAACACAATTCACACACAAGGCAACTCAAAGTGCTGAACAAAACAACATAAAATCAGTCCCACAAGGCATTAAAATCCTAAATAATCACACTACAAGAGTAAAGATAAAATCTGTAACACTTCCAGAGTAAAAGCCTGTCTCGCACATTTTAGGAAGACTGTTCCAGATTTTAGAAGTTAGACAGTTACCTTGAGGACAGGAAGTACTTTGTGGAGATTGGAAACTGTGTCTGAGATCATATGACCCTGACCTGTGGAGTCCCACAGGGGTCGATCCTGCGACCTCTTCTGTTCAATCTCTACATGCTGCCGTTAGGTCAGTTAATACGCAGAAACAAAGTGTCCTATCACAACTATGCAGACGACACTCAGATCCATGTCTCACTGACTGCAGGAGAACATGGACCAGTGGACTCACTCCTTCACTGTATCCAACAGATCAGTGAGTGGATGCAAAACAACTTCCTTCAGCTAAACGCAGACAAAACTGAAATGATTGTCTTTGGTCCCCAGAAACAAAGAGAGAGCGTCATCTGTCACCTACAGTCTCTCTCCCTAAAACCTTCAAACAAGGTCAGATATCTAGGGGTAATACTGGACTCAGACTTAAATTTTAATAGCCATATCAAATCAGTAACATCAGCAGCTTTTTTTACCATCTAAAAAACATTGCCAGGATCAAAAACATAGTGTCTAAAGCAGACTTGGAGATTCTTATCCATGCATTTGTCTCCAGTAGGTTAGACTACTGCAATGGCCTGCTCACAGGTCTCTCCAAACAGCTACAGTACATTCAAAATGCAGCAGCTCGAGTCCTGACTAGAACCAGGAAGTACGACCAAATTAGTCCAGTCCTCAGGTCTCTGCACTGGCTTCCTGTGGCTCAGAGAATAGACTTTAAAACAGCTTTGCTTGTGTACAAGTCTCTCCATGGCCTTGCACCAAAATATATTAGTGACATGTTAGTCCCATATGAACCAGCCCGGACTCTGAGCAGCACAGGGACTGGACTCCTGTTAGTGCCCAGAGTCAGAACTAAACATGGGGAGGCTGCTTTTCAGATTCATGCTGCTAAAATCTGGAACAGTCTTCCTGAAGATGTGAGACAGGCCTCCTCTCTGACAATGTTTAAAACCAGGTTAAAAACAGTCTTGTTTAGCTGTGCATACAACTGAGGGATTTTATATTTTTATCTTTCTTTTTAATGTTCTGTGATTATTTATGATTTTAATGCTTTCTTATTTGGTTCAGCACTTTGAATTGCCTTGTGTATGAATTGTGCTATATAAATAAACTTGCCTTGCCTTGCTTTTACTTTTCTCAGTATTAACACTTTGGATTAACTCCAATTGGTCGGTAATGAATCATGCCTGGTGACTTTCGGGCTTAAAAATACAAAACTCTCCCATTGTCTCTGAGTTCATAGGATCCACACATTACCAACATGTCACATGCAGCTCGACTGTTCTGGTGATCTGGATTCTCTCTGTTGCCATCCGCTGCCCTGTTCCCCACAAAGAGGGTGAAATGTACATGTGATCTCATTCTGTTTTGCAAATGTCTGGCTGTTTGTGAGTGAAATAATCTAGTTGGAATAAACATTTGTTAAAAAAGTTAGAACAGAAACACAAAAGGGCATGGACGCAACATGGATTATCTTTGGGTCATTATCGATGACTCTGGCTGTGATTATAGACGCAGTTTCAACATTTACCATGAAGATGAGAAACACTGCAGACATCTAGTTAAGAACAGTTTTCTGGACTCATCATGCACTGCCATTCACTAGGACTTTAAAGTGTCTCACCCTCCACAGGTCTGAGACATGTCCTCTACGTGTCTACGTTGATAACAAATACAAACTTCCAACCACAAGAGAACATAGCCTGAAAGTCGAGGAAAGATTAAGTAATGGCCGGCACGATGGCGCAGTGTTTAGCGCTTGTGCCTCGGTGCAAGAAGGTCCTGGGTTTGATTCCACCTCCAGGCCTCTGCGTGGAGTTTGCATGTTCTTCCCCTGTCTGTATACAGTAGGTTTCCTCCAGGCCCCCCCCCCCTCTTTTCCCCTACTACCACTAACAATAATGTACAATAGGTCTGGCATGTACCTCCTGTATGGTAACCCCACTCCCCTTTCTGTGAGGAGTGCCCACAACAATTGTAAAGTGCTTTGTGACTCTAGTCTTTAAAAAGGCACTACATCATAAAGATTACTTACATTTACTAATACTGACAATTACTGACTCAAAATAAGTTCATTAACGAATGATTCAACTTAGCAGATCGAACCTTCTGTTTCTGTTCACTGCTCTGATGACTCTGACATTTGAATATAGATAAATACGTAAGTCAGTGAGTCAGGAATATATGAACTTCTGCGGACACGGCATTAGACAGAACCTGGTTGTTCTAAGAGCTTCTTTCACTGAGACCTGTCTGTGGTGTTGGAGCCAGCGGGATGCTCCTCTCCCTTTCTGCTCCAGTTGTCGTCGTCTGCTCGTCTTGGTCCACGAGGCGGGTGCGGCTGCCTGTGACTGTGATGCGTAGTGACAGGGTGCTCCTCTCTGTCCTTTTTGCCGGTGCATGACAGCGTGAAGTGTCCCCCTTTCACAAGTACGCACACAGACACACACACACACACACACACGCACACACGCACGCACGCACGCACGCACGCACGCACGCACGCACGCACGCACTCTCTTCAGGTGTAGCTGTCTTTTGTCCACTTCTTTTGTGGATTTCTTTTAACTGCAGGATTTGAAGCCAAGTCAGTAGTTGACACTAACAGTATAGTAAAGATAATAAAAACATTCTAAAAAGGATAAAAGAATCACTAAAAGTTTAATTGTAGGGTTTGCCTGTATAATTTCCTCTAATCTAATTTTATGATGAACTGACATAATGAAAATATGTATGATAAACATGCACTATAGAAAATAAAGAATATTTACAAGGTATATACATAGGTAAATATACAAGGTAAAATGTTGTTAAGAAAGTGCAACCCAGTGCTCTGTCAATGATGTGGCTCAATGGAGATGTGCACATGATTATTAATGACAGGATGGTGAACTGTCAGTGTGGGATCTGCTCTCTCCTGATGAGAAACACAAACCCAACTCTTTAGTACTTCCATTACACCTTCTTTAATGGTCGTGTCTCCCGGAAGATGTCTGTGTGATCTCCAGAGAGCAGAACAGCACAGTATTGGAAAACACTGTTCGTCTGCCCACAGCTGCCCTGGAGCAGGCTGACAAAAACGATGCAACCAGTCGGTGCCACCAGCCTCTCCGACCACAAGCCATTCACACACACCACACTCATTCTAGGCAATGTGGGTGAAGTGTCTTGCCAAAGCGACAGCTTGGCATTTTACAGCCAGAGCCACCCCTCTGTGGCACCTGGTGTTCCCAGAGGTCTCCCATCACAGTACTAACCAGGGCCTGTCCTGCTAAGCGTCAGAGGTCTGACTGAATCTGGCTTTTCTCTTAAAGATGGTGCCATGCAGTTTACTCATTCAATTTGCAATGTGAAACTTAGATAGGACCGAGTCATGAGACACAAAGTGAAAAAAGACGGTATGTTGCTTTAAACAATATTTTGAGTTTCACCTGTTGATCGAGTCAAACACCTGTATGCAGCAGACATGGTGGTAGGTCTGACAGAATGGTTATTCTATTCTAGAATCTAGCAGGTCCCAGTCACACTCTGCTTGTGGGTTCCACACAGAGCTGCACGCTGTTAGCTCCAGGTCATCTCTGATTCAGGGCCATTAAAGCAGTTCATTCTTTTAAACTCTCCATTAGAGGAAGACAGGCCCATTTCTGATCATTTAGACTGGACTTTTTTAGACCAATTTAGACATTCTTAAGGACAGTACTTAGACACAGGAGCTCACACATAACACAAGTTAAATTAGAAAATGAATTACATTTAGCTCCCATTAAGTATTTTCCTTAAATATCCCTAAATGCAATTCTCTATTTCTGGATTACGAAAGTGTTTCAAAGCACTGTAGAATGACTCAGCGCTTCTAAAAATGTTGTTTCATTCAAATGTTTTGTGGGATTATGTATTAGTCACACACGCACACAGACATACACACACACACACACACACACGCAAACACACACAGTAGTAATCTCGTAGTAGTGTTACAACTGCCACTTCCACACACTTACAAGTAGAACAAATGAAGATCATATTAAGTGGTCGTGTCCCCTCAAAGCGACACCCTTCCATCCATCTCAGTGTCTTTCCAACATTGTGGAGGTCAGTTCTCCGACTGAGCCACAAGCTGTTGTCACCTCATTCTACCTGAGACTAATGACCAGCGCCCCGGCTAATCGTGTTACAATCTCTGCACAGGAGCGAGCACACGTGCGGCTAAAGCACGGCCAAAAGGGAGGGTCGCTACTCAGTTTATCTTATCTTATCATATCTAACATTTTAAGCCTTAAGTGACTTTCATTTCATATTTACAAGATCAAGGAGTAATAGCAAGGAATAGCAAGTACCAAAACATTAGTGACTAAAGCTGTTGTTCTTTGTGATTTTTTAAGTACAGCGGTCCGTCGTTTATTGCAGATTTACGGTCTAAAAAGAACCCACAATGAGCCAAGTATCAGCGATATGTTTTAAGGCTGTAAAACCCTCTTTACAAACTTCATACAGTTTTCCAACCACCTGAAATGTTGAAGTGCAATCACAGAGATATCCAACCTGTTTGTTGTAAGCCTGGGTGCTGCTGCAGCTGTCAAAAGACGTGCATACACTGTAAAATACTGCTGCAGAGGAGACCGCGCTGAGGGGCAGAAGACCGCGATATTACGTTTTCTTCAAACTTTGAATAAAGATAACTGGCATGTTATACTTGCGGTTATCGGATGTTGCATATGATATTGTTGGAGTATACACGCAACACATAGAGGCACATTGTAAAAATAAAATAAATACAAAATTTGCATACGAAAATCTGAAAAACAGCGAAAGGTGAAGCTATTGCGAGGGATTGCAGTAATGTCAGTTCTCACATGTGGCTGAAAGCTACACTTGGCAAAGCTCTTTTCCCCGTGGAAGGAGAGGAGACGAGGGGCTTATGGGTAATTTGGTTAGGAGGAAACTATGAGAGATGGCTGAAATGGAGGCAGGCCTTTTGACATAAGCATTCACCGAGATGTATAATGCCAATAGCAGAAGCCGCGCTCACAAACAGGTAGCGAGCGTGCGTTCTGGAGCTGCTTTCTCTGCAGACGACAGTGCGAGTGGGCTGTCAGCGCGGCGGGGTCGGCCTGATCACTGCTGAAGGATTACATCGGAAAGAATAATGCAAGAGCGTCTCTGAAGGAAAGATTCTTTTTCCTGAGAGTTTAAGTCATGTTTGTAAATGACTGTTTGAGTTAGAGCTCTGGGATTTTGGGGGGAAAAAAGGTTGAGCCTTGCCAAATTGTGATGCGGTTTTTGATGTTCTATAAATAAATAAATAATAAGTAAACAATACAATACACAATAAAAAATGACAAATTAAAGAAGTTATACCCGATTTTTTTATAAGGAGTTCATAAAAATGCTTATTACTACATACAAGTTGTATTATAATCCGTAATTTAATTGATAACTTGAGCTCATTGATTCAGCTGTGTATGAATTCAGGCCGTAAAAAGTGCTGAGTAGAGACTTAGCGTGACGCTCACTCTCCTCCACTCACAGAACGAGGCTGCGTCCTCCAGCCTCTACAGCGCTGCTAAACACAGTAGCATGTTAGCAGAATTGGCTATAACTCCTCTGGCTGCATACCACAGCAAAACAGCCCAAACAACGCAACAGTGAGGAAGAGAAGAGGGAACTAAAGCAAAAAAATGATCAAAGAAGAAATCAAGCCTGGGTTAACATAGCTAGCTTACATCGTATCCTCCGGAGAGACCTGTGGGTGCGGACCGCAAAACTAGCAGTAATCTTTCAGTTCTACTTCATAGTGCTACGCCCCTTAGGCTCGCTTTGGGTATGACTCCAGAAGCACCTAGCTTCCCGCCAGAGAGAACTCAATGCTCCAATCACTGTGCAGAACCTCCTATAAATAGCCCACAGCAGACCATGCTCTTCACTTTGAACTCTGGCGCCATTGAGAGAAGTTCTACTCACCATTGAAGATCGCGATGTCTACTCCTCCTCGTCCGAGAACTCCTTCGCCATCCGGCGTCGGACGAAGACGGTGCGGTGGCTGCCGGACCAAGCTCCACCGCAAAGACCGGCACGAGTTCTGCTTCCTCTGCCTGGGAGCTCACCACCACCGGGAAGCGGCGACGTGTGCGGCGTGCCTTTCTCTCCCCGGGGAGGAGAGAGAGCGCCGCGCTGCTTATGCCACCTCCGCGGAGGCTCGCCCGGGTCCCTCCCAGGAGGAGGAACCTGAGGTTGAGTATGTCCCGCTCGACCTGCCTCCTGCACCCAGGGAGTGGGGAGACTGTGTTGTGGAGGAAGAGTTTGACGAGGACCGGGGTTCCTACGTCACTCTCGACGAGGCTATTTCCTTGTGCGAGGAACAAGACCGCTTCCCTCTGGACCACATGCCCCGCCTCTTCGCCACGGCAGCGGCCACCATGGAGACCCCCCTGCCTCCGCAACCCACCCAGAGAGAGAGCGACTTCACGTCGGTGGGTTCATCGCTTCCAGGGAAGAAGAGACGAGCTCCAACACTGTGTCCGCGGATGGATCCGGTTTTCCATTACGCGGCACGTGATTGGGCCAAACCCCTAGCAGCTAAGAAGCCTGCTCTGGGGTACGGCGCCTATTGCTCGGTCCAAGACTGGTCCTGGTCCAAAGGGGTCCCGGAAGTGGAGGACGCTGTCCGGCTCGCACTACTCCCGCAGTCCTCGGTGTGGCCCGGCAGCAGACCTCTCCTTCCCTCGGAGCGGGATAGGATGAGCAAGGCTGTACTGGATAGATGCTACGCTAACGCAGGACAGGTCGTTGCGTTAGCTAGCAATATGGTTCTTCTCACCGGGGCCCTCGATAGGTCTCTATCCACGGGTCAAGCTCTCACCGACGAGGACCTGGACCGGGCCAGAACCACCACGGCGGCCATACTCCGTATGATCCAGGCGCTGGCTATTGACGGTGGGCGATCCATGGCGTCCGCACAGGTCGGTGCTCGCCATCTGTGGCTGGGGCTAGCGGACATCAAGGAGACGGAGAAGAGGCAGCTCCTGGACCTCCCTATCTCCTTGGATTCCCTCTTCGGTCCAGACATGAAGGGGCTCGTCGCGAGACTGGACGCTGCTGCCAAAGACTCCGCCATGCTGGCTCCTCATCTGCTCCCTCGCCGTGTGTCACAGCAGCAGCAGCAGCAGCAGCAGCAGCAACAACAACAGCAGCAGCCTTATCGCGGCAGAGAGAGAGTGAGAGACCGGTCACCTCGGCGACGCTCAGCTCCGCCCCCTCTTGCTCCTTGCCCGGGCCGCTACACTCCGCAGAGACCACGGGGTTCAGAGCCTTACTCCGGTGGTTTCCGTGACCAACGCTCCCACCGCCGCCCTCCCTACAGTCGGGGAGTTCGGGGGGGGAAAAAGTTTTTCAATAAACGACAAGGTGTACCGTATTCTCTGTCTGAGCATCATCTTTTTGCCATGCATGGTTTGTCATCTCAGGTAGAGGGCAGCATTGCATCACACACAGGTCTATCACCTTTGGTTACGTTGAGTCCACAGCGGCCGCATCCCTCCATACCACTTCCCACAGCGGCCAGTGTAGTGTCTGCTGGGTCAGGACCAGGTTTTGCGAGCCTCTCTCCCTTTTCTCAGCGTCTCCGGGGTAAATCCAGCACTTCATTCCCCAGGGGTGGTAATGAAAGCCTAGGTCAGGTTTTTCCCTCCGTCTCCGGGGTTCCCTCTGTTAGTGGTGTTACGCATACAGAGCAGGACGCTCCCACACACGTCTGCCCTTCAGCTCAGGCTGCTGTCATTTCATCCTCTGGGCGGGGAGTGAAACGCAGATTACCGCTGTCTATAAGTGAGTCAGGGGGCCTGGTCCCAACCTCCTCACACAGCACATCTCATGAGGTGTTTCGGCCCTTTCGATGCCCCCCCCTCTCCGCTGGGAGCGCAGGGAGAGTGGGGGGCTATTACACCAGGTGCTCCGGGTCCTCTCCTTCCCCTCACAGAGCAGTTTCGGGTCTGGGAAGAGCTCGGTCTACTGTCAGACCCCTGGTTAAAGAAAACGATGCGCAGGGGCTATGCTCTGCAGTTCGCACGGAGACCACCGCCGTTCCAGGGCATTCGTGCGGTGCGCCCTACAGATCGGGAGACAGAAGAGGCGCTCCAAATGGAGGTCGCCTCCCTGTTACGCAGAGGCGCCGCGGTCCTGGTGGACCCTCGGGACGCCTCCAGAGGCCTGTACTCCCCGTATTTCCTGGTCCCCAAGAAATCAGGGGGGGTGCGCCCTATATTGGATCTGCGCACTCTGAACCAGTGCATTTCCAAACGGCCCTTTCGGATGCTTTCCACAAAACATCTGTTAGAGTGCGTCAGGCCCGGGGACTGGATGTCAACCATAGACCTGACGGACGCTTACTTCCACGTTGCCATAGTACCGGAGCACAGACGCTTCCTGCGCTTCACCGTGGGAGGGAAGTGTTACGAGTACTGTCGCCTCCCCTTCGGTTACGCTCTGGCCCCACGCACCTTCTCCAAGTGCGTGGAGGCGGCGCTGGAACCACTCAGACGCGCAGGGATCAGAATCCTGACTTATATAGACGACTGGCTGATTCTGGCCCCGTCTCTGGAGCAGGCCACCATTCACACGCACTGGGTCCTGTCACACGTGCAGCGCCTAGGCTTTGTGGTGAACAGGGAAAAGAGCAATCTGCAACCCGCACAGCGCTTAGTCTATCTAGGTCTACAGCTAGACTCGGTGGAGTTTCGGGCAGCGCTCTCCCAGGACAGACGCTCGAGCATCACGCGTCTAGCTCAGGAAGCGCTGACCTCTCCCACAGTGACCGCCCGACGAATACGGTCTCTATTGGGGATGATGGCATCAGCTCATGCAGTGGTGCGGCTAGGTCTCCTTCATTTGAGACGTTTCCAGAGGTGGTTCTCCCGTCTCCGACTACATCCCACAAGAGACGGGGGCAGAAGGCTCATTGTTCCTCCAGGAGTGGCCGAGGACCTGAGCTACTGGCTCACGCCCGGTCTGATGCTGGAAGGAGTTCCCTTGGTCGGTGCCGTGGCACACGTGGAGGTGTTCACGGACGCGTCTCTGGAGGGATGGGGGGGGGTTCTGCACCAGAGCTCTGTGGGGGGCGCCTGGTCAGGCCCTCTTCGTCACATCAATCTGCTGGAGATGGAGGCGGTTCACAGGGTGCTTCTGCATTTCGCTCCACAACTAGCGGGGAGACACGTGATGGTGCGCTCAGACAACACCACAGTGGTGGCGTATCTGAACCGGCAGGGGGGCACGAGGTCCCCAGCCCTCCACCGACTGGCAGCGACCATTCTGATCTGGGCTGCAGGGCATCTGCAGTCTCTGAGAGCGCGTCATGTTCCGGGAGACAGGAACACAGGGGCGGACATAATGTCACGGGGAGGCCCTCTCGAGGACGAGTGGGGCCTCGACCCGCAGATGGCAGCGGAGGTCTGGCAGAGGTTTGGTCGGCCTGTGGTCGACCTGTTCGCCAGTGCAGACAACGCGCAATGCCCGCTCTGGTTCGCACTGAGACCCACGGACAATCCGCCTCTAGGGGTGGATGCCTTGGCTCATTATCCGTGGCCAGGGGGCCTGTTGTACGCCTCCCCCCCCCCCTCGTCTCCTACCGATCCTACTGAGGAGGATCGAGCAGGAAGAGCGGGAGGTAATCCTGGTCGCCCCAGACCGACCACAGGCCCGTTGGTTCCCGTTCCTGACCAACATGTCTGTGATGGACCCGTGGCCTCTCCCGGACGTGCCAGGGGGCCTGGTCCAGGGAGGGGGGACGCTTCGCTCCCGCCCAGTCCTGGGCCACAGGCTCTGGGTTTGGAGGCTGAGAGGCAGAACCTAGCCCGACTAGGCCTCCCCCAGGCGGTGGTGGATACCATCCAAGGGGCGAGGGCACCTTCCACCGTGAGGGCTTACGGGTGCCGGTGGAAGCTTTTCAAAGACTGGTGCGCGGCCCACTCGTGGGACCCCAGGTCTTGCCCTCTAGAGGGCGTCCTGGGCTTCCTGCAGGACCTTTTGGATAAGGGCAGGGCCGCTAGTACCTTGGCTGTGTCCGCTTCGGCCATTGCCTCTGGTCACGAAGGGTTCGGGGGGTTTTCAGCCCGCTCCCACCCGTTAATCAAACGCTTCCTTTGGGGGGCCTACAGGAAGAGGCCGGTCCTTAGACGAACACCTCCGATCTGGGACCTCAAGGTGGTTTTGAAAGGGCTGTCAGGGCCTCCTTTCGAACCCCTGACCCGTGCCAGCCCAGAATGCGTGGCCTTCAAGACCGCACTCTTATTGGCTCTGGTATCAACCAAGAGGGCGGGAGAACTGTGCGCTCTTTCCATCAGCCCGGCCTGCCTGTCCTTTGGTCCGGGGGATGGGTTGGTGGAGTTGTGGCCCAACCCGGCCTTTCTCCCCAAGGTCGTTTCCTCAACCTTCAGGTCCAGGGTCATACGGATCAGACCTTTTCATCCTCCGCCTCACGCCTCGCAGGAGGATGAGCAAAGACACCTGTTGTGCCCTGTCAGGATGCTGAGGCATTACCTGGAGGTCACGTCCTCTTTCAGGCGCACGGATCAGCTGTTCGTGTGCTTGGGGCCTAAAAACAGAGGCGCCCCGTTATCCTCCCAGCGGCTGGCGCACTGGGTGTCCCGGGCGATTCGCTCGGCGTATCAGGCCCAGGGGATGGTGCCCCCGGTGGGGTTCCGAGCGCACTCCACTCGGGGCGTGGCGGCCTCCACAGCTCTGCTACGAGGGGCCTCGGTGGAGGAGGTATGCCAGGCTGCGTCCTGGGCTTCGTCTTCCACCTTTGCTCTGTCTTACCTGGTGGATGTGTCAGAGCGGTCTGTTGCTCACTCCATCCTGAGCTCTGGGACTGATGCGACCGTGTCTGTCTCTCTCTGAGGCTTTCTGCGGTCTATGTTGTCTGGAGCGGCCGGCCCCTCCTGGAGCTCTTGATAGAGGCGTCCTGGGCTCAGCCTTCTCCTTCTTCCTTCGCGGCTTTGTGCAGTCCTCTGGTGCTCTTGGTAGAGGCGGTCTGGGACTGTTCCTTGTTCCCCTACGGGGGCGCGCGCGGTGTTCCTCAGGAGCTCTTGGTAGAGGCGTCCTGGGAAGTGACCTTCGCCCTTGGGCGTTTGGTCAGAGACTTGGCTGTTCCTGGAACGGCCTCCCTCTTGGATTCTGTTAGTGCTTCGGGCGTCCTTGATAGGAGCGGCCCTACCACTGCTTCACCTTTGAGCCTTTCCTTGGGCGTCCTTGATAGGAGCGGCCCCATCACTGCTCATTCCCTGTCTGTCTTGAGTTCCCACACCTTGGAGGTGTTAGGGCTTACTCGGCAGGGCTCCAATCACTGCTAGCTGGCCTGATGGGAGTACATACTCTTAGGCTACGCTTCGTTACCCAAAGCGAGCCTAAGGGGCGTAGCACTATGAAGTAGAATTGTTAGTTACCTATTGTAACTGTAGTTCTACGAATAGTGCGTAGCCCCTTAGCTACGGGCCCATCAGTCCAACCTGGCTTTGGCGAGTTCAAAGTGAAGAGCATGGTCTGCTGTGGGCTATTTATAGGAGGTTCTGCACAGTGATTGGAGCATTGAGTTCTCTCTGGCGGGAAGCTAGGTGCTTCTGGAGTCATACCCAAAGCGAGCCTAAGGGGCTACGCACTATTCGTAGAACTACAGTTACAATAGGTAACTAACAATTATATATTTTGTTAGTAGTGCATTGCTTTTGAACCATTTCATTAGTGATTGTTGTACAGCTTACAAGAAGTTGCGCTCATGCTAATGTTAGCATATGTATCAGATCGCAAAGAAAACTAGATACCTTAGTGGGATGAGAGCGTAGGGGAAATGAGAAGCCTGTGAGCGAATTGGGTGGTGGGGCTAAACATTCAAACCTTGCAGAAACGGGTATAGCTCCTTTAAGAAAACATTTCCAAAATGTGTCTAAATTGATTAGAGAACTTCTTTTTTTTTTAAAGTCACATTTTATTCAGAGTAAAAATAACAATTTGAAATAGACTTAATGTGAAATTCAGTTACTACACACATTAAAGCTTTGCTGCTTCCTGATTGGATCCAATGAATTCAAATCCTTAACAGACAGCTGAGGCCTCTCCTCATTGGCCCAATTGTTCTCCTCCATCAAATTTTACTGGGGGAGGGACTGTTTTAAATACATTTGTTATAAAACAAAATTAGACAATACTACAGGGTAATACAGTCAAAATTATGTTTTATTTTCTAAATGAAATACAATTGAAGTTGTAGACATCACCTTTAAAGTGTACATATGAAGAAACTACCCAGAGCCCTACCAGGATAAATAAAGTGCACCTTCACCTTTACCTTAGAGTTCGAACCTATTACTACAACCATCTTTTCCAATGAAAAAATATTCACTACCAAAATGTTAAATGTATTAGCTCTTGAATGAATTGTCCTTATTTCTTTATTCATCACAAGGACAATGCAATTGGAGCAACAGTATGCCCTGGGTTATCTAGACCAAGAGATAGTAGGAAGTTGTTTTTCATCATCTTTTTTTGCTTACATCTTTAGTCCCTATTTCTCTTGCAAATTTACTAATTGCGATCACGGAAATTGCTGTTTTGATTGGTTTGATTGGGATTAACCACGCAGCACTACAACACAA